AGATTTTATTTTTTAAAACTATTTCTTTATATAACTGTCTATCTTCCTTTTCCTCTATCTTCCAAGCCTACGTACATTTTTACATACATTGTAAACTATTTAGGGTTTTATTTAATACGAAAATGTTTTACTGTGAATCTATAATTCTTCTCTGACCAGGAGAGATTTTACACTGCTGAAATTCTTGGCTAGGGCCAACTTGACAGCCTTGGGTGCTGACTCATCCCACCTCAGCTTCCAATCATGGCAGATAAATGCTTATCACCAATTCCTGGAAGCAGTATGTCTATGTTTTTAAGAAGCAACATGTTGCCCAGAAACCTCTCTCTCTCTCTTTTTTTGTCTTTACTAGCAAAAGGTAAATCCATCATGTTGCGTGCTGCATGGCTTGCAGAAGCCACTGTGTACAGTAGCAGGAATCTGCCTGCTGCACTCAAGGTCATATACTATGAATCAACCATTTTGTAGCTCAAGTCTGTATGCCACAGCCTCTCTGTACCTTGGTGTCTCTATATCTCGACCTACATGAGATATAAAGTAGAAACCTTTTTGGCTTCATTATTGTGTGTTTAGAAGCCCCTTTCAACTCTTTTCAGCCTTATGAAACTCAAGAGGTCCATATTGGTACACCAAGTATAGTTGGAAGTTTTTCTGTGTCCTGCCTGGCCCATAGTCAAGACAAATCTCTGACCCACAGTCCCGCAGTCATTTATAAAATAATCACCCAGAAGCTTATATTAATTATAACTGGTCAGCCATTATCTCAGGCTTATTACTGACTAGCTCTTACACTTAACTCAATTCTTTTTTGTTTAGACACACGTGGCTTGGTACCTTTTCTCAGTTCTGCCTTGTCATCTTGCTTCCTCTGTGTCTGGCTGCTGACTCCTGACTCTGTTCTTCCTCTTCCCAGCATTCTCCTTATCTACTCATCCTGCTTATACTTCCTGCCTGGCTACTGGCCAATCAGCATTTTATTTATCAACCAATCAGAGCAACACACATGCACATAATTTAGAACGACATTTCACAGCACTCTATTCCCCCCCTCAAAATACCCTTCCACCAAGGTCTCATATGCCTCCCACTCTCAAATTGATAACCTCCTCCTCCTGTTTCTCTTCAGAAAATGGAGGGCCTTCCATAGATATCAGCCAGCCATTGTATATAAAGTTACACTGAGACTAAGCACCTCCTCTTCTATTAATGCTAGATGAGGCAATCCAGTAGGAAGAATGGGTCCCAAAAGTAGGCATCAGAGCCAGGGACAGCCCCTGCTGTCACTGTTAGGAGTCCCATAGGACCAAGATACACAACTGTAATAGATATGCAGTAGGTCTAGGTTAGTCTCATGCAGGATCTCTGGTTGTTGGTTCATTAAATTTTTTTAGGGGTCAAGTCTAGGCTGATGTGAAAGAACTTTCTTCCTAGGTTTTCTTTGTCAGGTTTTGTTAATAATTTTCTGGTCTGATAAACTATGTTGGGCTATATTTCCTCTTTCTCTAGTTTTGTAATGTCTTTATTTCAAATTCCCAAACATTTAGAAAAAGCTTCCAGAAAGTGAATTTCCAAAGGGGAACTTTTCTATAAAATTATTCATAGTGCTCTGCTGTTATTACAATTTTAACTAATGTAGGGAGGCTGGAAAGGTAGCTCTGTGGTTAGGAACATGCACTGCTCTTGCTGAGGACCTGAGTTCAGTTCCCAGCACCCACAGCATGTAGCTCACAAACACATATAACTCCAGCTCCTATGTTCACTCTGGCCTCCATAGGAACCCGCATACACATGGCATAAAAACACACAAACACATATACATACACATAGATAAAACATAACACACCTTTAAGAAAATAAAGTGAATATATGTTGTACATATGGGAACCCAGGCAGAAGGACAGCAGGTTGGAGGCCAGCCTTGTTGGGATCACAGGCCTACACCACTACACCCAGCTTTCATTTATGATTGCTAGTCTATATTTTAAATTGTTTTAATTATTTCTTGGGTGTGGGGAAGACACCAAAGACTTAGGTGGAGGTCAGCGAACAAATTGTGGGAGTCAGTTTTCTCTTTGCCCGATTCCTGCTGATTGAACTTAGGATGTCAGGCTTGGTGGCAAGTACCTTTACTGGCCAAGCCATCTCACTGGCCCTATTTTATTTACTTATTCTTTGAGACATGGTTTCTGTATGTAGCTCTGGATACTTGGAACTAACTATTAGACAGGTGACCTCAGATTCAGAGAGACCTGCCTGTCTCTACTTCCTAAGTGCTGAGATTGAAGGCTTGCACCACCATGCCTGGCTTATTTATTTTAAAACAGTGTCACATGTGTTCTAGGCTGGCCTCTTACTCCTGTGCTAAGAAGGTGAAGATGACCTTGACTTCTTGATCCTCCTGTCCACACCTTCAAAGTGCTTGGATTTCAGGTGTATACCTCCACCCTGGCCTTTGGTGGTTAATGTGTGAAACATGTTTCATTCTGCAGCTCAGGATGTCATGAAATTCAGTAGGTATGTCAAGATAACCACAAAACAAAGGCAATTCTCCTGCCTCAGCCTCCCAGGGGTTGGGATTATGGATCTGTGCAACCAAGCCAGTAAATTTTCTCATTTCACAGCTTTGATGAGTGATGTCATTAAAATTAGTACTCAGTGTGAAACCATTTCCTTCTATTTAGTTTCTCATTTCACGTGTTTATTGAGAAATCTGCTTTATTTCCAAAATGTATGATGTTAGTTAAAATGCAGTCGTATTCACAAAAGTTCACAGAACCCCTTGGAGGTCTCTGTTCGGTCTCCCGGCAGGCAGAGGGTCATTGCTCCTTGTTACTGGGAACAGAATCCAGTTGAGTGACTGCCAGAGCAGCATATACAGTGGACTCCTCTGGGGCCTCCCCTGCCTGGGAGGGAGGAGGTGCAGCTGTCCCCTGTCTAAGTGACCTGATGCATACATAGTTGGGCATAGGTCACATCCTGGGGCTCCTTGGATTCAGCAACCTGTAGTGGGAAGGAGTGAGAGGAAGGTTATGCTTGGCTTGGGGGATACTAAAGTCCTGGTGAGGTCAGGACTCACCTGACTGTCCATCTCTCTGTCATCTTCTGCTTGTCCATCTTTGGTGTCCAGGACTTCTGACATGACAGAAGGAAGGATAGCTCCTGCCCTCCTGAGCCTGGAGCCTTTCACCTGGGCATATTTCCCTCCCTGGGGGTCTTCCTCAGCTGGTCTCTGTAGCTGGGAAGTAGTGAGGGACAGGCAGTGTCTCCCTGTTCCCCTGGGTATCTCTGGCCAGTTTTCCACAGCATGGCCAGAGTGACCCATTTAGATAACAACATCCCTGATGGGATCTTCTCGGGCTTCCTTCCTACATTTCTGGTCACCTATCCTGACATTCTAAACCTTGCTGTCTTGGCTGTACTCACACAGTCCATCTACCTGAAAACATGTTTCTGGGGGCTGGAGAGATGGCTCTGTGATTAAGAGTACTGACTACTACTTCAGTGGACCCAGGTTTGGTTCCCAGAACCCACAAGGCAACCTATATTCATATATAACTCTCATTTCAGGGTATATGGCATTCTCTTCTGGCCCCTGAGAGCACCATGCAGGCATGTGGTTCAAAGTCATACATGCTTGTAAAACATCCACACACACAATACAAAACCCCATGTTTCTGCCCAAGTCCCTTTGATTCCTGCCTATAGCTGCTACTTCCATAAATGTTTCTGTGGGTTTTCCCTTCCAGGCTTCCCCTCAGAAGACAATCAGACAGATGCCAAGGAGCCAGAAAGGGGATAGAATCAATGAGACACATGATTCCGGGAAACCAGGAGAGAGTGAGGCAGGTTGTACTTGCAGAAGAGAGGGAAGGGTCAGCTGTGGTTGATTCTGATGGCCAAGGGATGGAGAACAAAAAAGGCTCTCTGGACTAAAATGGGTCCTAAATTCTTAGCACTTCAGATAAAGACAGAAACCTCACCCAATTGTCCAGATTGGCACCATCCTCAGGTTGTGTGTCCTCTACTGAAGTGTCTGTCCAAAGAACAAACTGAATGTCTCCTGAGCAGAGTCTAGGGATGACCCTGACCCCTGGTTTCCTACATTGCCCCAGGTGTGGACAGAGAATCAGGGAGTGTTGTGATTTCCAGGGTCTATAGTGAGAAGTTTAGACCCAAATAGCAAAGACCCCAGAGCCTCTCCTCCACCCCTGCAATGCTGTGTCCTCAGACTTCTCCCTCCCCAGGACCCTCTTTATCTCACAAAGTCTTTCTTCCTGGGTGGCAGCAGCTGGATTGGATCTGGAGAGACAAGAAGATGTCAGTTGTCAGTGAGGTGTGTCAGGAAGGTGGGGTCTATGTCTCTGGCCATGAGTTACCTCTTCTGGGAGCCTCTGTCTCTGGTTACAGGCTCTGCAGCTCCTGTAGTAAGTTGCAACTCCATATCTTTATGGCCTGCAAGAGAGAGAAGAGTCTCAGCTTCCTCCTCCCCCCAGGCATGTACAGGCAAGGAAAGAAGGAAGGAAGGAAGGGACCTTTACATCATGGGTGAGAGAGCAAATGTCCCAGGACATGGTGAAGCTCATAGAACACCTGAAATTGCACAGTTTCTGAGATCACGTTCTTTCTGATCTGAGATCAGCAGTGTTTCTAAACTACCCAGCCCAAATTTGAGGGTTCTCTGAGGCTGGTGTCCTGATCTTGTGCTTGAATGTTCACAGGGGAACCTGAGACCCAGGTCACCCACACCATACTCACCATCCTTCCTGAATTTTCCCTGATGCCTTCGTTAGAGGAGGAAGATGAGGATGAAGAGGAACAGGAGGAAGGCCACAGAGACTCTACCCAGAGCCTCAGGTACCCTTCCAGTCCTGAGACACAAGTGACGTCATGAGTGGGGAATGTTGCTGCTTAACTGAGTACCTACTGTGTGACAGACACATTCTGGGTCTTTGCACTCATCATCTCTTCTCCTCAGAATCATGCAACAAGGAATTGTCTCTTTTTCTGTCCCCACATTTCACTGGCCTCATGAGGATCACCTGACTGGAAGTGGCAGAGCTGGGAGCTGAACTCAAGGACTCTTCCAGCTTTTTTTCTCTCCACCTGAGCTGAGCTTCCTGAGCTGGAGGGGAGGAGCCTGAATGTCCTGCCCTGGCCCTGTGACTCACCCTTACACATGTCACCACCACTGTGGTACAGACCCACTGCAGAATCAAGTTCTGAAGGTTTCCTCTCAGGAGAGGTCACAGCCAAGGCCAACATTGAAAGAAATGTGGGCCAGGCTTCTCTCCTTTTTACTCAGGAAAAGAGCGGTCTATCCAGAAAAGGAAAGTTGGTCCAAGTTAGCATCTCCAGAGTCAGCTGTGTATCAAGCCCATAATTAACTATTGCCCTCTTGGTCCCATCTTCTGACAGAGACCTTATTATCCCTCTGGAACCTCACTCCATCCATGCTTTTGAGAGGTTTGTTCTCAGGGCCTTAGAGGCAGGATGGTGAGGCAAATGTCTGAGATCCCTCTTCTCCACCTCACCCACCTGCCCCGTCCTCCAGATTGAGCCAAAACATCTCTTTCTGGATGCCAACTTCTGTATTCCAACCTCAAGTCCGGGTTTCTAGGGTCTCTGTTTGGATCTCTATTTGCCTCTGACACTCACAAATTGAATGGACATAGAAATGAGCACCTCAATGGGCTAACCTGTGGTGGGAGCCTACGTCCTGCACTGAGGTGTGTTATACTTACCGGCCCTTGGCATGGGTCTTGATGGGGGTGGTCTGGAGGCTCCAATAGGTCCTAGGAAACAGAACAAGAGGAGGGTGAAAGTTAGATGCTAACCTATGGACCTGTCTCTGCTCACTGTCTTACCTTTGTCCTGTAACCTCCACAAGATCCTCTTGCTGTCTACCACAAACCTAGATTGCAGTAGAGGGTAGAGTGGACATTACTTGAGGGATCCCTGCTTGGATCTACTTCTTAGAAAGGAAAGTGCCTTCTGACT